GCCACTGGAAATCAGAAATCTATTATTCTCCCTTTTAAATATACTCAGCTATCACAACCCTATTGGGTTAAGAATTCCAATGATTCACAGTGCTTTGAGGTAAAGAAAAACTCCACCTTATGAGTCCTAGATGGCCCCTTATCTTTAAATTGAGATCCCAGTTCTAGACTTCATAATCAGGGCAAGCATCTTAGCTGCATTTATCATGTCTACCCCTTTAAGTGTTTTGTAGATTTTAATGTGATCCCTCTCAGCACAGGCTCAGTTTCTCCATTATCTGGCAGTCCTGTCATTCCATGAACAAGTATGGTAAACGTTGGCTTCTCTCCCTCTGTGGCAATAATATCTTGAGACCAAAATGGCACACTGTACTCCAATTCTGTACAACTGAAGGGAGACTTCTCCTGTTCTATGCACGTTGGTTAGACGCCAGCGTTGTAGTTGCACTTGTAGCGTTTTTAGTGTTGTTGAGAGCTGAAAGAATGGACTGCTGGATTGTAGACACAGATGGATAATTACTTGTGCAAAGAGTTTTGAACCATGTTGTATGTAATTGTGATTGTATCTCACAATCCTTTAGATTAATACATGCAGAAACAAGATCTGTGGCAGGGTGCAATTCCAGGCCTTGCAAGGTCTTGTCATATAGATTTTGGTATGACTAAGGGGAGAATGTGCAGAAATTTTTTGCACCAATGGGAGTGATTAATCAATGTTTCCCAGTAACACTTTAGCTAACTCTAATGTGGTAATATGCATTCAAGTTTAGTATTCAGTTGAGGGAGGGAACTAAAAGTCACTTCTCTATGGTACATGGAGAAATGTTCTTCAGGGACTTTGAGGAAAGAGAGGTAGTTGTGGGGAAGTTAATGTTGTAGCAGTATTATTGCTAGACTATTAATCTAGAAACTCAACGAATGCTCTGGGAGCGTGGATTTGAATCCTGTCACAGCAGATGGTGGAATTTTAATTCAGCAATAAGAAAAATCCACTAATCATGAAGGGTTGTCAGAAAAGGCCTTGTAGCTCACTAATGCCTGTCAGGGAAGGAAATCTGCCATCCTCACCTGGTCTGGCCAATATGTGACTGGCCACACCAGTGTGATTGACTTTCAACTGCCTACTGAAATAGCCTAGCAAGCCACTCAGTTGTATCTATCACAACGAAGTTTCAACAAAGAAATTGAACAGAAAAAACCACCTGGGGTCACCCTAGGCACGGAAAAAGGCAACGGCAACCCTACTAACATATGGGTCTAGTGTCAAAATTGGGAGAGCTGTCTCATAGACCAGTCAAGCAACAGCCTGACATAGTCATACTCATGGAATTATACCGTATAATGTCCCAGACACTTACCATTGCCATCCCCCTTTGTCCTGTCCCACTGGTAGAGCAGACCCATCGGAGGTGGCGACAGTGTTACACAGTTGGGAAAGAACTGCCCTGGGAGTCCTCCTAACGTTGATACCAAACCCCACGAAAAGGTTTATTCATTCTTGGGATGTGGGCATCTCTGGCTAGGCCAGCATTTATTCCTCATCCCTAATGTCCCTGAGGGCAGTTGAGAATTTATCATATTGCTGTGAAGTCTGGAGTCGCATATAGGCTAGACCAGGTGAGGACGGTAGATTTCCTTCCATAAAGAGCATCAGTGAACCAGGTGGGTTTTTCTGATGATCAACAGAGATTTTGAGACTCTCAGACTTTTAATTCCAGATTTTTTTATTGAATTCCATCATCTGCCATGGAGGGATTTGAATCCATGCCCATAGAAAATTAGCTGAGTTTCTGTATTAATAGGTTTCATAGAATCCCTACAGTGTGGAAACAGGCCCTTCGGCCCAACAAATCCACACCGAACCTCAGACATCCCACTCGGACCCATCCCTAATAACCAACCTAATCTACACATCCCTGAACACTACGGGGAATTTAGCATGATCAATCCACCTAGCCTGCACATCTTTGGACTGGGAGGAAACCCACGCAGACATGGGGAGAATGTGAAAACTCCACACAGACAGTCGCCCGAGGGTGGAATTGAACCTGGGCCCCTGGCGCTGAGGCAACAGTGCTAACCACTGAGTCACCGTGCCGCCCCTAGTCTAGTGTTAATACTGCCCATTGCCTCCCCATAGTCAATGGCTTCAAGTTAAGCACGGGCAAAGAAACCTCCTGCTGATTACCACGTGATGTCCTCTCTTCGCTGATAACTCAGTGCTCCTTCATGTTGAACAACATTTGGAGGAAGCACTGAGGGTAGTAAGGGTGCAAAATGTACTCTGGGTGGGGGATTTCAGTGTCCACCACCAAGCATGGCTTGGCAGCACCACTGCTGAAGAAACCCACAAGAGGGAAAACCTACTCGACTCAACCTTACCAATCAGCCAGCTGCATATGCATCTGTCCATGACAGTATTGGTAAGAGTGATCATGGCGTAGTCCTTGTGGAGATAAAATCCTATCTTCACGTTGAGAATATTCTCCATCATGTTGTGTGCCACTGTCGCTGTGCTAAATGGGACAGACTGCCAACCCAGCCAATCTCCACCCCATCAGTTGACTGTTGATCATCAGCAAAGTGATAGAAGGTGTCATCAGCAGTGCTATCAAGCAACATCTGCTCAACAATAACCTTCTCAGTACTGCCTATTTTGAATGCCACTGGGGCACTCAGCTCCTGACCTCATTACAGCCTTGGTTCAGAAATGGACAAAAGAGCTGGATTCCAGTGGTAAGGTGAAAGTGATAGCTCTTGACATTAAGGCTGCAATCAAGAGTGTTGCATCAAGGAGCTAGACTGGAATCGGTGGACATCAGGGCCAACTCTCCACGAGTTGGAGTCATGCCTGGCACATGGGTAGATGGTTGTGTTGTTGAAGATCAGTCATCTCCGCTCCAGAGCATCTCTTCAGGTGTTCTTCAGGGTAGTGTCCTAGGCCCACCGTCTTCAGCTGCTTCATCAGTGACCTTCCTTCAATCGTAATGTCAGAAGTGGGGATGTTCGCCAATGACTGCACAATATTCAGCACCATTTGCAACTCTTCAGATACTGAAGCAGTACATGTTCAAATGGAACAAGATCTGAACAATATCTAGGCTTGGACTGACAGGTGGCAAGTAACATTTGAACCATACAAATGCCATCTCCTTTAAGAGATAATCTAACCACTGACCCTTGACATTGAATGGTGTTAACATCACCGAATCCCCCACTATCAATGTCCTGGAGCTTCCATTGACCAGAAACTTAACTGGACTCTCCACATAAACGTAATGGCTGCAAGAGTAGGTCAGAGACTAGGAATACTGGGGTGAGTGACTCACTACCTGACTCCCCAAAGCCTGTCCTCCATCTACAAGGTACAAGTCAGGGATGTGATGAAATGCTTCCGACTTGCCTGGATGGGGACAGCTCCAACAACACTCAAGCTTGACAAAGCTGCCTGCTTGATAGGCACTACATCCACAAACATGCACTCTACCACCAACTCTCAGTAGCAGTAGTGTGTACTATATACAAGATGCACTGCAGAAATTCACCAAAGTTCCTTAGACAGCACTTTCCAAACCGAAGACCACTTCCATCTAGAATGACAAGGGCCGCAGATACATGGAAACACCACCACCTGCAAGTTCCTCTCTAAATTGCTCACCGTCCTGACTTGGAAATATATCGCTGTTCCTTTGGTTGCTGGGTCAAAATCCTGGAATTCCCTCTCTAAGGACATTGGTCAACCTACAGAACGTGGGCTGCATGTAGGAGTAATTCAGAATGGTGTCCTGTTCCTTGTGTAGGTTGAATATCGATGCTTTTATATGTATATATTTATTTCTCTGTAATTATGATACAAGTTCTTTTCTTGAATGTGGTGCTGATCATAAGGGTCAGAGTGAAGGAATTTAAAGCTATGGGGGCGAAGTCAATTCTTTAATTTAATGATTCACTTCCCTGAGGGTCCTGTGTTGTTTCTGTGATTTCTTTCTAAATTGACTTTTAGGGAAGTCTTTGGTCTGTAAGACCGCTGACCAACTATTTGGAACATGAACAATATGCTTGAATTTGCATTTGGATTGGAAAGGAAAAGGTTAGGTTTTCGGCTTATATTTCAAACTCACAAGGCCAATTACATAGGTGTGAAAGCTGAACGACCTGAAGTGAACTGGCATTATATGCTGTGCGGTAGATCAGTAGAGATGCAGTGGCAGATATTGAAGGGGATATTTCAGAATAAGTATATTCCTACAATAAAGAAATTATGAAGCAAGGACCCATCTTCCTTGGTGAATTAAAGAAGTTGGGGATGAGGAAAAGGCACAACAGAAAAGATAAGTTGCACGTCAGATGATTGCTCAGACAAATGGATGGTAGAAAATGACCAAAGGATTAATCAGAAGGAAGAAGTTAGTGTGAAGAGAAGCTAGCTAGAAATGTAAAGAGTATTTCTACATGTATTTTAAAATTGAAAGGATCTGTCGACAGTGAGAATGGGAAGATAAATATTTTGCTTCAGTTTTCACACAAGGGTACAAAAACATGTAGCAATAGCTATACATCAGGAAGTGGAAAGGAAAGGAGAGGAGAACTTAATGAAATTTTAGTCACGAAGGAAGTGGAGCTAAACAACTTGGAGCTGCGAGCTGACAAGTCTCCAGGTCCAGGTGGACTTCATTATAGGGTCTTAAGAGTTTGCTAATGAGGTTTTAGATGCATTCATGTTAATTTTTCAAAATCGCCTAGATTGAGGGAAGTTTCTGTTTGATTGGGATAGAGGGGTTTCTTTGTTAATTTCAAGAAGGGTGAGAAGCAGATTACATGAAACTGTTGGCCAATTTGCTTGTGGGACAAGTGGTGGAATTGACGTGACAGTTAGGCACATTTTGAAGTTTCCATTAGGTCACATTTTCTTTTTGGAGAATAGAACACTGGCTATTTAGACTTTTTTAGTTGTTATGCTTGTAACATAAAACAATAACATTTAATTTTCTTCCCTAACAGCCGCCAACAGCTACCACATTTGTGCTGAATCAGCTGAATCAGCTTCCAAACTTGGGAACTACATTAATTGTGACAAAGGCATCTGTTAATGCAGTGTCTCGACCCACAGTTAGTGTAGCCAAGGTTGTTCAGACCAGCTCGCTTGCACCATCATCTACAGCAGCTCCAACTGTAGCTACAGCATCAGCCAAGGATCAAATACAACTTAAAGACTTGCTTAAAAGCAACAGCCTATCTGAACTGATGAAAATGAAGCCACCGTCCAATATTGTTCAGCCAATTACAACAGCAGCCAGTAAGTTTTATGCTTGTTCCATTCAATTGTATTTGATGTACATTTTGATGTGTTTTAAGTTCAATACCCCTAAAAGTAGAAGTACAGGTAGTTTGCTTGTAAAGCGATAGTTGCGTTCTTGTGTGACATCGCGTTATAGAAAATTGTCTTACAGGGAAATCACTATACCTGTACAGCAGAAAGCTTGCATTATCCAAACAGCATCCACTGTTGATCAATCACATTAGTCAATTCGTGTTAACGAAATGCACGTTATAGCAGAAATAACTGTACATGTAAAATGTTCTTTTATTGTGTAGCCTTATTGACTTTGTTTAAATTTGATTTATAAAAACTGATGGTAATTCATAGAATGGACAAGTTGAATTTAAAATGTTTTTGTACAGATTTTTTGGGAAAATGCAAAAGTTTAGCTGAATCTGTTTAAATTTTGTGGTGTATGTCAGTCTGAGTATGTTTGTGCATCTGATATATATTAACACAAATGTGATCCTGGAAATACACAGAACACAAGTCCTGAATTTGGCAAAAACTTGAGGCTTCACCTCCTATAATTCTTCCATTCCTGTTTCATTTACACAATGGCAGCTGTACACATTTATAGTTGGTCAAAAATGAGAGCACAGCAGCATTCTGAGAGAGAAGACTGGTGCATGCTTCATAATCACCAGCTTGTGTTGCAGTTGCATGACTGCTCATGGGTTTACTGTGAAGAGGATGTGCAATTTTTAAGGAAAGTAGTAGACCCTTTGGTTTTACAGCCTTGTCAAAACAAAATAATGGAGACAAACTATTATTGAAGACACTTAAAACAATGCTTTTATTAGATGTATATGTGTAAAATATTGTGCAATCCATGGTCCATCAATACCTTCAGAACCTACTTGCAATAAGTTTGAAATATGACTCTATTTTTATCAAGCATTTATTTAGTTTTGTTTACCTAGATAACTGTGTGAATAACACTTAATATTGATGCAAGCTACTTAGTACAAAGGAGTTGCCAGCAGTGGGTGTTAGAAACTTTTTCCCTAATTAACTTTCTTACAGAAATTGTACTACTCACTTCTAAGATGATGAATAACCCAGGTAAAGTAATGATGCTGTCAAGCTATAAGAAATGGTCACAATGGGTGCACGCTTCTTTTCTGTAAGGTGTGAGACTTCCAACTTAATACCAGTTAGTTGCAAAATGTTCCTTGTAAATGGCAAGTCAATCCATTGTGAAGCTCACCACCTTTGGCGAGTATTGGTGATGCATGTTAAGCCAAGAAGTAATATGCTTTTACAGCCTGAAGGCTTGAGTTGTGTAACTTTTCACACTACGGCAGCCTGTTGAATCTCCACCAAGCAAAACAACACACTGTATTCCTCTCAGAATCTGAGGATTCTTGCTTTTATCAAGGTGTCACTTTTCAAATTTGGCATCAAGATAAGCTTTGTAGTATAGTTTGGTGTTGCACATTGGTGTGGGGTGAAATAAGTTATTAATTGCATGTAACCATTTATTTTCTACTTGTTCCAAATTGCTTGTGTCTTTTATCACTTTAACCTGAAAAGGATGTATTAAAATGTTTAATTTGGTAGAATGAGCCTGATTGATACTGCATTTCACAGTCTGAGTTGATGATTGAAACAGATTGTCAATATTTAATAGATTAGACAGGTAGAAGAAATGCGCATCTAACAGGATGTGGGAACACTGTATGGAAGCATAAGCGCTAACACAGATTTGTTGGGTTAATTTATATATACGTGTACCTTTCATGATGAATAAGCAGCCTGGTGACCGCCTCTAAATGGCAAGTTAGATTCGTAACACAAGGGACAGGTAATGACCATCTCCCAATAAGAGAGAAACTAACAAATGCCTCTTGACAGTCAATGGCATTGCCATCACTGACCCACTGTCAGCATCTGGGAGTTCCCGTTGGCTGGAAAATGAACTCGTGCAGCCATAGAAATATTGTGGCTACAAGAACCGGCCAGAGGCTAGAAACCTGTAGTGAGTGACTCAACGTGTACCTTCCAGAAACTGGCCTGCAAGTTGGGATTGTGATGGAATGTTGTTCACTTGTCTGGATGAATGCAGCTCCAACAACACTCCAGTTGATCCCATTGAGGGCAAAGCTGCTTAATTAGCTCCCTGCCCAGTACCTTCAAAGTTAACTTCATGGCAGCAGCAGTGAGTATCTTCAAGATAGATTCCAGTAACTCACCAAGGTACCTCTGACAGCACCTTTTCAAACTTGCAAACACTATCACCTTGAAGAGAGTAGCAGAAACATGAGTACCATCAACTGCATGTTCTTCTCCAAGCCCTGCACCA